CCCTCCCCGCGTCCCGGTTCCCTGTTCCGGCTTGTCCTAATTAGTCTTCACGGTCTTGCTCCCCGAGGTGCGGTGTCTGGCTCGGCCCCCGCGGTCTCCGAGCTCCGGGACACGCTGGCCCCGACTCGGAGGGACCTGCCCAGGAGTTCTTGTTCCCTTGCGCCCCACCCCCACTCCGCGCCTGAGCCGGATCGGCGGGGCTGCCCCACTCTCCGCTCCGGCCCCCTGGAATCTGCAGGAACCGGCACGCTAATCCCTGCTGGGACCCCTCCGGCCCAGTAAACAAGCCGATTTTCCTGCCGCCTTCCCCCGGGGGCCGCGAGCTGTGCCGGGAGCTCGGAGCCCGGGGTGGGGCCCAGTTAGCTTGTGCTCGGGGCCCGCAGGGACCCAGGTGCCCAGGGAAGGGAGAGGTTGTTGGGCCTGGCGGTGGCCCCCGGGGACGCGGGGAGGGCGGGTGCCGGGTCTCTGGCGGCCGAGTTGCCTGGGGGCTCGCCAGCAGCGCGCGGCCTGAGCCAGCCGGTGGCGGGGCTGGAGGCCGAGGCGTGTTTGCTCAACCTGGGGCGGCCGCAGGGGGAGGGGGGCCGCCGGTCACGGACTAGTGGGCGGCCAGGTGGGGGCGAGCGGGGGAGAGGGGAGGGCACCTCCCGGGCTGTTTGTTTTCCAGCCTCGGTCTATGACAACCAGCAGTGTAGACTCTGAATCACCCACAGTGGCCCGCGCGATAAACCTCAGGCCGGTTCCTCCCCAAGCTGACTCCAGGGGGGAATGTTTCCTTAACAGCGGGGGGGGGGGGGGGGGCTGGCAGTGGGGCCCTGACCTTCTAGAACCCGGCATCCCTTCTTAAGTTCGCAAAGGAAAAGCTGCTGACCGCGGCGGAGCTGTGCCTCACTCCTCAGCTCCCTCCCTAAGTCCACGCCCCCCCCCCCCGGGGGCTGGGGGACCCCCACTGCGGGGGGGCCAAACCTTGAATGGTGCCCACACTGGAAAGGAAGCCGCCAGACCTCAGTGAGACCAAGAGGTCACTGTGCAGGCTGGGAGGGGTGACTCTTGGCTGGGGAGAAGAGCTGGAAGGTGCAGGGGGAGTCAGAACAGGAACTGTGCATCCGAGGGGACTCCCTCCCCCTCCCCAGCTCCTCCAAAAGGCAGCTCCTCTCTGCACCCCGCCCCTGTCTCCCTGCCCGGTCACCCTCGCAGAGGGTCCTTGGGCACCAGGTGGCCGAGCCGCGCCCTCTGCCCCCCTGCACAGTAAAAGCAGTGCTCGCTCCGGTTCCCCAGGCTCACCCTGGAACCGGATCTGACTTCAAAGGACACAGCAAGTCCCTCCAGGCACATGACCTGGGTCTCTGAGTGTCCTCTCCCAGGCCAGGGCTGTGCAGGATGGGGGAGGGAGGGCCGCTGAGGCACAAAGCGTACCCCCACCCCCAGCCCCTGCGGGTCAGCCCCCAGTGGGCTGGGCTGCTGGGAAGTCATGAGGAGGGGGGTGCCATGGCTTTTCTAGAATCCAACCACAGGGCCACCCGTGCTCCTGCAAGCCCCTCGCCCTGATTTAATAACCAGTAGGCACAGGACCCAGAAACTAGCACTTGGAGAAGGGTCCCACCAAGCCCTGCCTGCCCGCCATCCGGAGATCTTGGATTTGCTGGATTCTGGAGAGCATCCGGGTCTCCCCCTCACTGGGTGGTGCTGGGGTTCCCACCGTAAGTGAAGCGACCTGCCTGCCCTGAAGAGCTTCCTCCTTGGGGCCGAGGTTCTGACAAGGCCAAGGTGAGAGCAGCTGTGCCCCCTGCCAGCTGGGTGACCTGCCAAGTCGCTCATCCCTCTGAGCTCCACTTCCTGTCTGTACAACAGCACCCGAATGACGCGCTCTAGGAGGTCTGGCACTCAGGCCGGCAGTGGTCGGCCCCTCCTTCCCGGGCGACTGTCCACCCCCTCTTCCCTGATAGAGGTCCGGCAGGTGTCCACCCAAAGTCCTGGTTCCAGGCATTTCCTCTGACTTCTTTCAACCCTGTTAGGAAAGGATGGGGGCAGCCACGCCAGGCATCCCCTGTGCACTTCCTTCTACCTTGGACAGTCTGTCTCCCCCGTCCCACACTGCTTTTATTTCCGAATTTGTATTTATTCCTTAAAGTCCTGTGTGTTTGAAAAGAGATTCCGACAGAGAGCCCTTCCATCTGCTGGTTCATTCCCCAAATGCGTGCAATGGCGGGGGCTGGGCCAGACCAAAGCCGGGAGCTGGGGGCTCCATCCGGTCTCCTGCGTGGGTGGCACGGCCTCCTCCCAGGGTCTCCCGCAGTGGGTGGCATGGCCTCCTCCCAGGGTACACGTTAGCTGGAGGCTGGACTCAGAAGCACAGCTGGGCTGGGCGGCTAACGCAGCAGCCCACGCTGCTGGCGTCCCAAGTGCTGTGCCAAGCCCCCAGCCCCCACCAGATATTTTTTTAAAAATCTTCCCTGCTTCACATCTCAGCTTAGGGGCTGCGCTTCCTCCAGGAAGCCGTACTCGCCTTTCCCTGAAGGAGCCCCTGCTGACCATGCTGCTTCCCCACAGCCCGTGGGCCTTGTTTGTATAACATTTACCCTGATGCGTCGTAATTAGCCTTCTAAATAGCCCGGCTGGCAATGAGACTGGGCCCTCACTCGGCTTGCGGCACGTGGTAGATGTTTGCAGTGGATGCTTGTGGAACACACCACACACACACAGCCTTGCACACAGCACCACACTTGCCTCCTCCACACCCCCGCCGCACCCACGCCATGCCGTGCCAGGAGGCAGGAAGCCCCTGTGCCTGCTGGAGTCCACCTGCCCTGGACCAGCCCCCGGGAGGGGGTCCTGCGACCACTTGGGAACGGAGAGTCCTCATGCTGCCGGAGGGCCTCCCCAAGCTGAAGTCCTGGATGGCAATTTTTCCTCCTGCAGTGTCTCTCCCAGGAGCCACCTCTTCCTCCAGGCAGTGGGACGCCTGCTTGCCTTTCTTAGGGGTTCACTACCCGTGGTCTTGCAGCCAGGCCTCAGCAGAGCGAGAGCAAGGCTGCACTGAGTGTGTGAGGCTCCTGGCTCCCTGATACGTAGGGGTGCGGCCCCCTCCCTCCCGGGCCTGAGCAAGGCTGTGTTTGGCCTCTCCTTGCTCCCCTTCTTACAAGCTCATAGGACCTCCTGTTGGAACAGCAGGGCCCGCCTGGTCTTTGCGGACAACTCAGATACCACAGGGGCCCCTTAAGGAGCAGGAAGCCGGGCTCCAGGGAGCAGGCGAGTGAAACGCTCATTCACCACGACCGGCTGCCCACGGCTGAGCCTTCTGGAAATGTACCCGGAAGCAGGCCTTGGCCGCCGCCTGCAGGAATGTCACCTGATGCTGAACCCTCGAACAGCAGCTGCGGAATCGGTTTCTCCCTTGTCCCTCTCCCTGTCCGCGGTGGCTCGCTCGCCAGCTCCCTGGGAATGATTTTCTGAGCGGCCCAGATCCGGATGCCCTCTGTCCTCGGACTGAGCCAAGGCTAAAGACCAGGCCTCCAAGCCAAGGTCCAGGGAGACAGGCCACTCAGCCCCCACCCCCTCCACCACCGCAAAGGAATCGCTGCCAGTCCAGGAGCATTGCAGGGCCGGTGCACCGTGGGCCGGGCCCCCAGAGTGGGCGCTCCTGCCTGCTGGTCTTGCCCTGTAGCCACCCTGTAGCCCCCTGCCCGACGTGGGCTGTTCACTGACCTCGCCCCGCCACTCGGCTCATAACACCTTACCAGCACCCCCACAGCTGACTCCCCCACCTGCCAATCAAGGCCTCTCAGCGACCTGTACCCAACCTGGGCTCAGCCCATCTCCCTCCTCCTCCTCACAGGAAGCCATCACCCCGGTGAGCCTGGCCCCCACTTCCTTTCCTGTGGCTTCACTCACACTCTACCACCATCCAGGCTGCACCCTCTGAGGCCCTGGGCTCCTCCCCACGCCTTCGGGCCGACATTTGCTAACCTTATGCTGTATCTTGCCTCCCTCCTCCCATGCTAGGCCCTGCAGGGAATGGATTCTAAACTCCCTGCCATTTCATCTCCATCCCCGCAGCCCCTGGCATCACGCTGTGTACATCCCCAGAGCGGCATCAAATATCGGTGGGTTGATTGGCCTGGACCAGAGAGGGGCTGTCAGCCTAAGGCCGACTGGAGGTTCAGGGACTGGGTTCGGCCCTGCTGCCGACAGGAGCCGAGGGCATAGGGTCCCTGGCTCCCTCGGACTCCCAGAGTCTTGGGTGGAGAAGGTGAGAGAGCTGCGGGCCGAGGTGACTTTACAGTGCTCGAGGCTGTGAAATGGGTTTACCTCTGCCCAGCACCCAACCATCCCAGAGCGTCCTTTACAGGTGTTTGATGCTCACAACCCCGGAAGCCTCCACAGAGTGGAGGTGGTCGTCTCCATTTTACAGATTGAAAAACTGAGGTTCCCGGAGGCTGAGTGGTCAGCCGTGGGTTGGAACCACTTGTCCGGAGCGCACCGAAGCACTTGTCCACCCCTGGCGTGGCTCGGCCACGCTGCGTGTGGCTGCTCAGCTACCTGTTTCATTCCCCACTGGGGGAAAGGTGTGTCCTTGAACCCTCTGCATTTCCCTGGCCGTCCCGCCCCTGTAGGACCTCAGCCAATACAGGAGGGGACAGACAGACCAAGGATCTGCGCGGGCCCGGAGGGGACACAGGGCAGAGCTGCTGTCGTCCCAGCAACCGGCTCGGCTGCCCGCCCTGCTCCCCACAAACCTCCAAGACCGCTGCGTGGGTCAGCGCCCAGCCTGTCATAGCGCCCTTTGTCCTTCTTCCTTCCCCCGTCCCTGGTCTGCTGGCGACCACCAGGTCCCGAGGGCACCCTGCAGGGCCGTTCCGCCCTCCACCAGCCAACACCGACACGGTACCCTCCACGGAGCCACCAGTCGCTGCCCCTACCCCGTTGCTGGTGAGACCACCCCCGGACTCAACTCAGCAGGGACCCCCAGGCGGTGTGGGAGGGCCAGACGCAGCCACACTCACCGGAGATGGCACCTCGGGCAGGGCAGGGCAGGCAGGCCCAGCCAGCTGGCTTCTGGGCGTGTCCAGTCCCAGCTGTTCCCAGGGCTGGTGGGGCTTGACTGTCTCTTTCGCCGCCCTGTGGCGGAAGCCCAGCTGCGGTGGGGCCTGAGGCTGCCGGGAACTGAGCTGCGCTATTCTGGGAGCGAGATGGGGCTCCGGGAGCCGGCAGCAGCTGCAGCCTCAGCCCCTCTGGTTTGCACGCCGTTCTCCTCGCCGCTGATGAGAAGGCCAAGTTCAGTCGTCTCGCAGAGCTCAGAACCGCCGAGAGCGCATTTGAGGGTCTTAAGAGCAGTTGTGGTCGCGCTAAAGTGGAACGTGGGCAGAACGTGGTCGGAGCTCCGGCCCTGTGCGGCGGCCCTCGTTCCTGCTGTCAGTCACAGCCCACAGCCGTCTTCCTTCTGCACTGGTCTCGGCCCCACCCCAGCTCAGGGCCTCCCTGCGAGGTGCAATCGTGGGTCTCCTCCCGCACCTGTTGCTCCGTCTCTGCTTTTCAAAATTGAGACTGGGTGACCTGCCGTGCAAGCAGTGGAAGTCTGAAGGTTGGGGCTGGCGTTTTGGTGCTGCTGCCTGCGAAGCCAGCATCCCATACAGGCGCCAGTTCGAGTCCCAGTTGCTCCGCTTCTGACCCGGCTCCCTGCTAGTGCGCCTGGGAAAGCAGCAGATGACCTGAGTGCTTGGGCCCCTGCTGCCCCCATGGGAGACACAGTTGGAGCTCGTGGCTCCTGACTTAGGCCTGATCCAGCCCCAGCCTTTGTAACTATTTGGGGAGTGAACCAGCAGGTGGAGGATAGAGGATCTCTCTCTCTCTCTCTCTCTCTCTCTTTAATCAAAGTATGAAGGTTGAGTTTGGGAGACAAAAGATCAGAGTTGCAGTCCAACCCCGTGTACAGTGAAGCTAAGCCCAGTGATTAACCTGGCCTGGGATGGCCCCACAGAGCACCAGAGACGTCGGGGCTGACTTTGTCCTCATCTGGAGGCCAGGGTGGGGCAGGAGCCACAGGCTGATGGACAGACAGCTGACGCCCGGCATTATGACCACGTGTCCTGGGACCAAGGCGTTCGAGGAGTGGGAGGGGCAGCGGAGAACGAGGGGGCATGGCTTCTCCTGTCTGCAAATGGGGTAGGAATCGGTGTAGGCAGCGCGATGCAGCAAGCTAAGCCGCCGCTTGGGACTTCCGCGTTCCACGCTGGAGTGCCTGGGTTAAGGCCCACCTACGCCGCTCCTGATCCAGCTTCCTGCTAATGCACCCTGGGAAGCGGCAGGTAAAGGACTTGGTCCCTGCCGCCCGCGTGGGAGACCTGGATGCAGTCCCTGGCTCCTGGCTCCTGATGAACCAGCTGTTGTGGGCATTTGGGGAGTGAACCGCTGAGTGGAAGATCTCTCGTTCTCTCCCTCTCTCTGCCTTTCAAATAAATAGAAATAAATAAACTATTTGAAAAGGGGTCATAATCCCTGCCTCGAGTGACTCATTGTTGTGCGCATTATACGAAACCCCAGATCTGAGAGCCCCCCTCACCTCCGTGCCTGGACCTGCGTCTCCTGGCTTCTCTCCCTCTGCCGCAGGTTCCATGGTGTGGGGGAGGGGCGGGGGGTAGGGAGGGAGCTGGTTCTTAGGTTTTCTCGGACACGGCCCGCTGCTTCAGCACTGCTAGAGTCCAGTCTCTACACAAGGAGGCCGGGGGGTCTGTCCGACACCCCCACTCCCCGCCAGGTGCCGGGCAATGCACACGGACCTTGAGAACCAGTGAGACCAAGTCCACGGGCAGTATTGAAGCCGGGAGACTCGGGCAAAACCCAAACCACAGGTGCCCCTCTGCAGAGTTCTGGATCTTCACGGCCAGGCTGGCCATGTCCCGGAGAAGGATGGACACGGGGAGAGTGGGGGCGCGGTGGGGGAACACCGAGGGTGGTCCAGAAAGCTAAGCCTTATATATCTTGCTCCCCGCGTCCCTTGCTTGCGCCTGCCTCCATGGGCAGGGTGGGGAAAGCACAGGAAGTCACTATTAGACTGCTCTCTTCCTTTCCCTTGTACTTGTGCCCACTTCCTAGATTTCCCAGCCCCATCTGAGGTCAGGCTCGGGGTTCAAAGCTCAGCTCAGGGGAGCTTAGTCCTACCACAGGTTTCTGAGCCCACCCGAACCGGTAGATCAGAATCTATAGTTCAACAAGTGCTGCAGGTGGTGACAGGTGTAACAAGGTTTGAGAGCTGCTGACCTACAAATGCACGCTACACACCCACAACAACTCCCGGGGGAAGGAGGGAGTTAGCGGACGAGCAGAGCTCAGTGACTGGGTAGGGGCGTGGTAGGAGGTGAGTGTGATGAGACAGGCACTCCTGGGAACAAGGGTGGGATTTTTTTTTTTTTTTTTTTGACAGGCAGAGTGGACAGTGAGAGAGAGAGAGACAGAGAGAAAGGTCTTCCTTTTGCCGTTGGTTCACCCTCCAATGGCCGGCGCGCTGCGGCCAGAGCACCGCGCTGATCTGAAGGCAGGAGCCAGGTGCTTCTCCTGGTCTCCCATGGGGTGCAGGGCCCAAGCAGCTTGGGCCATCCTCCACTGCACTCCTGGACCACGGCAGAGCTGGCCTGGAAGAGGGGCAACCGGGACAGAATCCGGCGCCCCGACTGGGACTAGAACCTGGTGTGCCAGCGCTACTAGGTGGAGGATTAGCCTAGTGAGCCGCGGTGCCGGCCCTGTTTTTGTTTTTTGAAGATTTATTTCGGTAAAACAGAGATTTTTCTTTAGCTCAGCTATTCCCCAAATGGCTGGGACAGAGCCAGGAGCCAGGAGCCTCCTCCGGGTCCCCCACGTGGGTGCAGGAGCCCAAGCACTTGGGCCATCCTCTGCTGCTTTCCCAGGCACATAGCAAGGAGCTAGGATGAGAAGTGGAACAGCTGGGACCCAAACCAGCGCTCGTATGGGGTGCTGGCGTCACAGGCGGTGGCTTAGCCCGCTATGCCACAACACCAGTTCCCCCACTAAATATTTTCCCTCGGAGTCTGGTCCTGCCCCGTCCCACACAAGCTCCGCTCTGCAAGTCAGCTTTGGCAGCCTCAGGGCCTTGGGTGCTGCCATGAGGCATTTTAGGTAAAGGTGACTGTTTAGGAAAAACCACACCCAGTGACTTTCCGTGATGTGTCTCAAAGCGCCACACCTGGCCGGTGCTGAGGCACCGCACACCTGGGGGCTCTTTGCATTCAATTTTCCTAGGTGACTTGCTCTTTCCGGGGTGAGTTTCACCTGCCACTGCCTTCTCTGTTCCTGCATTTTGCCCGGCAGGCTGTTTCCTGGTGAAGAACCCCAGGCCTAGAAGGGAGCGGGGAGGGGGCGTTCGAGGGGAACCTGGGCCTCTGCTTCTCCAAGGTCATTTGGATCGGCTTAATCTAAAGCGGCCAGTCCCGGCAGCCCTTTCACCTAATGCCGGATTGCGTTTCAAAACAGTTGTCCCGGCCCCCCCTAACCAGGCCTGCAAACAGCCGCGCGTTTGGCTCCGTCCCTGCCCTGGGCCCTGCTCTGGCAAAGAAACGGGATCCGGGAAAGCCCCTCTCGGAGGGTGCCCAGCCTGCTGTCCGCCTGCTCTTGGTCACCTTTCTAACACCCCTCCTGCCGCGGGTAAGGGGCTCTCTTCCAGGCCCAGAGCCGCTGTCTGACCCCACCGGCCATAGCGTGCACAGCCGGGCCCTGCCATGATGATGGCATGCTCCAACTTCCCCCTACCCCCACCCCGTTCTGCCTCCCCATTCAGTTGGACCAGGAGCGCTGTCCAGGGAGGCCAGGAACCCAGGTTCTGGGCTCAGCCTGTCTCTCTTGACACATCTAATAGCAATCTAATCTAATAGCTGTGGGAACCGACAGAAGTTACATATTAACTCCTGCTTCCTCCCAACAACCATATCAAGCAGCTACAATTATCTACCTGCTCATAAAAGAAGAAACTCAGAGAGGCGGAAGGCACTGGTTCAAGGTCAGTAGGTGACTGGGCCCAGAGCTTTACCTAACGGCACCAAGACACACGATTTCCTCCACCTGGGATGCGACAGAAAAGCAGTCACCCCCAGGATGGCAGGCCCTGTCTGTGGGTGCAGCATCAGGGCGCGGCTTGGGTCGGGTCCGGAGTGATGGGGACCTGACTGGGTGGGGCTTCCCCCCAGGAAGCTGCTGATGGCTGGGCCGCCGCTCCTCAGCACGGAGACCTCGGTGAGGACCAGTGTGCCCCCCCCCCCCCCAGCCAGGATCCTAGAGAAGGCGAGGCAAAGGCTGCCGCACCACAGGGAAGCCACGCACTGTCACCTTCAGGGAGCCTCTGGGGCCCGCGGGGCAGGTGAACACCGGAGAGATGGGCCTGTAGTAGCAACAGGCGTGCACGCACAGGTGGCCGGGGAGACGGAGCCCTGTGAGTTCCTGGAGGTGGCTGTGACCAAGGACCACAAATCAGGTGGCTTAAATGTTCAGGGACGATTGTCTCCGTCTTGGAGGAGAAAAGTCCAAAGTCAAGGTGTTCCCAGACCCACGTTCCCTGTGAACGCGCTGGCAAGAATCCTTCCTGCTCCTTCCAGCCTCTGGTGGCTGTGGGCCATCCATGGCGTCCTGTGGCTTGTGGTGGCACCACCCCAACCTCTGCTGCCCGGGCCACGTGGCCTTCCCCTCGGTCTTTTCCAGTGGCCTTCTTGAAAGGACCCCAGCCCCGGGGCCGGCGCTGTGGCAAGTTGGGTTGAGCCACTGTCTGCAGCACTGGCATCCCATATGGGCGCCGGTTCGAGTCCCGGCTGCTCCTGCTTCAGATTCAACTCCCTGCTAACGCACCTGGGAATGCAGCGGAAGGTGGCCCAAGTCCTTGTGGGAGAGTCAAATGAGGCTCCTGGCTCCTGGCTTCAGCCTAGCCCAGCCTTGGCTCTTGGAGCCATTTGGGGAGTGAACAAGTGGATGGAAGATCCCCCCTCTACCTCTCCTCTCTCTTTAACTCTGACTTTCAAATACATAAATAAAACTTTCTTTTAAAAGGACCCAGTCCCAGTTGGATTCAGAGCCCACCGTAACCCAGGGTGATTACATCCTAAATAAATGACGTGTGCAAAGACCCTATCCCCAAATGGGGTCCCAGTCACAGGGGCCAGGGGTTAGGACTTCCACATATGGGAGAGGGCGTGGGGCACAATTCAGCCAACAGCACCTGCTATGAGGCGCCTCCAGGCCTGTGCGTGTGTGA